GTGGGTGTGGGTGTGGGTGGTGTGGGTGTGGGTGTGGGTGGGTGTGGGTGTGGGTGTGGGGTGGGGTGGGTGTGAATATTAGTGTTGTCTTCAGCCACAGCCACACTCACGCCCACATCCATACCATTTATAGCTGGTTCAGGTTGGATAAGACGCGTTTTCGATGATCGGAATGATTGACCTGGGATACAAAGCAACTACACTTACAAATAGACTCGTGCACGAACAAGTAGTGGTTTTCCTACTAATTAATTCTTTCTTACTTCTCCCATCTCATCAGTCGAAAGAGAAATAGACAGAGAAAGAGAAGAAAAAGCAAAAGGAAGAGAAGAAATGAACGATAATATGAGATACATAAGAGAAGTGCAAATGGTCTGATCCATCACAGAATGATAGCAGTTGACTTCGTACAATTCGTTTCTTAAGTTCGTCTTGATACAGACTTGTGAGCGACTATTTGAAAGTTGATATTTCATATGAACTGTCATCCGATCGTACTTCGCTCATTATTAAGGGTTTTAGATTTAATTTTCTTTCGCATTAGTCAACTAAACAGCTCTCCGTTCGAAAAATGAATCTAGAAGTTTAGATGACTACCTGATTAATACATCAGATTTACATTTATTAGAAATTGTTGGGAGATTCTATCATCACTTTTTGACTCATCTTGTCCTCCTTTTCTTCTTACGATGAAACATAGCGTCCAAGTTTTTCTTCAAAACAAATATTAATTTCATTCATATCACTAAAGCTTTTAGTACGGTCCCTGCAGGATAAATATGTGAAGCACGATGAAGCCGCTTTAATTGTGAACGACAGTCATCGCCATTTCGATCGCAGCCCGCGGTTAGAGCAAAAGGAGCACTAGATTTCAATGTCGGTCACTTTTCGCTATGACATATAGGCTTTTTTGGCACGCTGGTCACATACTACTGGATCGTGGAACGCCGAGGAATAGGGTCCGACTTTCTCATTATATAGTTCAACACTCATTAACAATCGTGTTTCACAAAAACGACGCACTATGCATTACACTAGATGCATGCTCGCATGGAAAAATTATGTCTGTTGTTCTAAACAGTAATATGATAGAAAAAACATCGGACTAGCAGTAAGCCAATCATGCAGGATGTTGAAAGAGGTCTTGAACTTAAAGAGGACTTTCCACTATGAAAGAGTATCGATTAGAATCAAATGTAGTGGAAGACACCACAAAACAGGCATTAATTTACATAATGTTAAATATAGCATCTATGTCATGAAATTGCAAAGAGTCTAATAAGAATGGATTAGTAATGTCACACATTTAGTATAGATGTGCCTTTGACTATCAACATACTCACGTTATGTCTCTCTCGCAAGATCGTTTTAGGTCCGCATTATTAACGAAGTGAGTTCATGTACTCCAGAATAGTTCTATAGAACTTGGTAGGAAAACTGAAAGCAAGAGCTCTACAATAACAAACATCTGCGAAGTAGAGAATGTTGCTGTTAGTCTTTTTTTCATATTATTTAAGTGTGAACATAGATCCGGATGAACAGAAGACCGACGCTCAGTTCGAAGCAGCACTAAATCTATCTATGAATAATGAAAAAAAATGAAAAACGGAAAATCTGAAAATTTTAGGATATGAAAGGGAAGCATCTTCTAAAGAAAATACTCCAAGTGATTGTCATGTGCCTTCAATTAAGTTTAAGAGATAACAACGCTTTGAACGATTTTCACAAGGGGTAAACGGCAGACTTGAAGTACATCAAAGTACTTTAAAATTATATGAGAGTACTTTGAAAAACACTTCAAAATTACAAAAGAGTACTTTAAAATTACAGAAAAGTACTTTAAAGTAGCTCGAAGTGCGTTTAAGTAGTGTAAATTACCTTCAAGTACAAAGTCTGCCGTTTCCCCCTTGGATTTTCATCATTTTAGAAAAAAATTAACTTAAATCAATTATATCCATATAACAAAAACAACAGTTCGATAGATGAATCAGAAAAGTGATTGAAGTTAATGAAGTTTTTATTGATGACTTGGACAAAATCGACTTTTTGTAAAAATCAGTATTTGAAACTAACAATTCCATTGAATTCAATCGAAAATTGTCATAACGAATTATTTTTCTGATCTTTTAAACTGAATCGATTTTAATTTGCTTTTTAACAGGATTTTTTAGATGCATAGCAAATCGTTTCTTTATGTTCATATTTTATTCTGGGTATATTGATTGAAGGATATAATCCTTCATATTGTTCGCAGTATCGAAAACTGGATCTTTATTTTAGAAATGAAGTATTCTTTTGTTTTGGTTTTTACTTACTTGGGGAAGATGGATTGATTGGTGGTGGAACAACAACTGATACTGGTTGTAAAAGTGGAAATGGAGGGCTAGTTTCTTCCAGTTGAACAATGTGAAGATTTCCCTGATTAAGACAGCCCATTACTTTGAATTGAGTTGCAGCCATAAGCAGTACTTCATCTTCGTCTGATAGATACGAATGCTTACGAATATCTCTAGCTGATTGACATTGTAAGGTAAACATTGTTCTGTCACATGTCGTTCCCAAAAATAGTTCTGACTGTAGAACATTAACGGCTGTTGTGCAAGATGAAAAGCCCCACCAGACGATTGTTTTCCCTGCGATATATTTTTTGCTTAGATCTAATTTAACACCTCTGTATGCAGTTTTTACAAGTGGTGGAAGACGAAATAGTGCATTAAGAAAGAGTCTTATAAACAAATACCATGGTTTAAGTTTTTGTCGTCGTTCTGATGATCGTAATGTGTCATTCAAAACGAAGTATAGGCATTCATCAAGTGGTTCCCATCCCATCGTGTATAGCATAATTGATGCAGATTCATCTTGTGTCAATCCATCAGCAGGATTCTCACATCTTTGTTTAGCGGCATAAGCATAGCTCTGAACTTCTGGTAGGATCGGAACAAGTGGTTCTACTGCTTGTTCCAGTGAAACAAGGGGTGCTTTCCCATAACCGCTAATAGGTGCAAGAAATTGCAATGGTTCCTGGGCAATGTCCGTAATACGTAATATACGCTGTGCTGTTGCATCTTCTCCTCCTCCTGTATCCATATTCAGCAGAAAGGAAGTTCTTCACGAAGTAATAAAATAATAAATATCTGAAAAGTAGTGAAAGACAACTTTTATAGCATTATATTTGTCAACGTTGATTTTTTTTTATCCCATGAAAGTAATCAACTTTTATGATCATTGAACTCATATTACACAACTTTGTTCAAGTTGATACATGTTTCAAGATCTTTAGTATGTGTAATATTGGTTCTGATATTCATGCGACGATATCTTCCGATAGCCCCATCAAAGTAATTTAAAATGTTTATATTGAATCGTTAATATGAGAGAGATTTTATTTAATACTGAATGTAGATTATTCTCTTATGTACAATTCTCCATCGTCTAATTTTTTACTAGTTTTCTTAAAGTGAGTTTCATTAAAACATAGCTGTTTCTTCCGCAACTTTTTTCGAATTATTATGTCCTTGATATTTTAATGAATGAAAGATGAGATTTGCTGAAAACTTCTGAGCAGGCAATTTTTTGTCTATTACAGTGTTTTACCAAAATCTATTGAAGACTTATGGTACGAACTTTGCGGGTATTTCATAAGTGTGTTCTTAACTAAATGTAGAGAACAATGGATAGAAATAAATTTATACGCTTAGCTAAAATACTGCTTATTCAAGCATTAGTTTTATAACGAATGGTTTATTTAAAGCTGTTTATCTATTGCAAATGTTTGCGACGCTTTGGTACAAACTGGCTATAATGATTGATGAAAGTAATAGCTCAGGTTCTAACTGAAAACTGTTATCATTATAGTTGACAATAAGAGCATGTCATTTTGGTTAATCTTAGTCCAAGCAACATAGATGTCAGGTTATCGTACGTAAAAGAAATCGTGCCATATTTTTCGGGAAATGCTAGTTTCGAATATTAACGATTATGGTTTACGACTTTCGTTTTCTTTTTAAAAAAAAACAGAGTAAAATGATGGAGTATTGTATGTGTCTTACTGGAAACATTTTTGTCGTTGTTAAAAAGCTATCATTATTTCTATATATGCGGCTGAACGAAAGACAATTAAGAAAGAAGTCTTCTTGCTCTCTTCATTTCAATACAATATCTCAAAATCTCTTTATACTATCTTCATCCTAAAAGATCTTTTCAAATGATCGTTAATAATGATTGGTGATGATGAAATACACAACAATCATTGTCTTCTGTTGCTCCTAGCGTTTTCTAGCCAATACATGGAGAAAAAAATAACAATAGAATACATTACAGTGTATTAAGAATCAACTAAAATGTTGTTTTGTAAAGAATGGAACACTTACCGATCTTTCTCTACGGAAACTTCTATTCATTAAATTTGAATGAAATCACATAATCATATCACTATAACTAAAATCATGAATCCGATTATCCTCCAACAAAATTAAAATTAAAATCGCTTGGCAATAGTTTTTTTTTTGTTGAGTAAATTATAGACGGATGCACATCGATTACCATACGAAAAGAAAAGTTTAATGTTAATCGATTTTAATTTTGACGTTACAGTATAATCAGATGATCGATAGTCTCACTTGTGAAGCATATCACGTTATAAGAAACTTTATTCGTTAAATAGAACATGTTAAGACTACATAAAATATAGAATAAATCGTGCCCTTTCAGTCATCATTCTCTAGTTTAATCCAATTTACTAAGATTTTTATTTTTATTAAGGTAACCAATACCCAACAGAAAATTGCAATATTAACTATACTGAAATGAGAAACGGATGAAACTCAACTGGAAATCTGTTGAATGATAATTTGATCGACTTATTTAGCATCTATCTTTGACAAATTCTTAGTCGTCACATATCGTTCATAACTACTCGCAGATAATGTAATTAAGTGCTACCTATTTCTTGTAATGATCAAACCTCAGTTTGTTACATAGAAACTAAGTACATGTAATTAAATGAGAGGTAAAACTAAACCCAATTCGATGGAGTTTAGCAGAAAAAAACTATATTCTTAATTAAAAGATATAACCTATACGTGATTCTACTTATTCAATGAACAATCTAAAAACTTAAATTCATCGTTTGTTATCGCTATTGACACATTTCTTCCGTGAAACAAGCTTCTTATTACACTCAAATAGGGCAATACTTTGTACTTGATATTCTTTTACATTTCATTGACGAAATTATGACAAAGAATACGTTGACTTTTATTCTATAAATTTCTCGTAGTACCATGCTATAGTGATAATGAACGTATTTCATAACTTCACTTATGTTCTTTTAGTTTCAATGACAAAAGAGAAAAAAATGATAACAACAGAATTAACATAGAGCTGTTGCCTTACAAATATTTATCCTACATACGGCTACTTGAGCTTTCATCACTAAAGTAATAAATCACAAAGAGTACAATAGTTTTTGGATTTTCTACTTTTAAATTCATGTTTCTCGACTAGTCAAATATTTTCTGCCTGGTTCAGACACAAGTTGTTAGCTGATTGCTTCATTATTTAAAGCGATGATCTTGCTTCAAGCACTAGGTGTGCCGAAAGTTCATTGAAAAAGAAATATTGATATTATGAATCGACAATTCTCATAGAAGTGCTTTTTCACCCTTTATACAAAGTTAGCTCATCTGACGGCTTTGCTTTAGTAATGTAATATGAATATATAAAATTTTTTTTAATAGAAAACCGAATGATATTTTAAGTTTTCATACACCCAAAACAAAAACAATCGTACTTTCATAAAGTCATTGCTTAGTCCAGCTGTCAATGAATTATCACCAAAAAACTAATGTTAACAAGTGTTTCACATAACATAAAAACACTAGAAAAAAAGGCCTACTTTGGTGCAACTATTTTTATTGAAAGCAGCTGTCCACATGATCATTTAGGATCTCAATTCAACTCTCTCTTGATGAAATTAAATATAGAAATATTGAAGTAGGATTATAACTGCATGCTTCAAACATATAGAATCTCTAACTTCCACGGTGGATTTTGGAAGAATAAAACATAGACTAGATGGCTAAGTTTTAGAGATGCCCATCAGGAATGAACCTCTGCCATTACCTAGAGTAGACAGCAGTCTTTTAAGAATAACGATTATTCTACATGCGGGCATTGGGAAGTACTATAACACTCTTGATTTTCTAATTCTGAAGAAAATAACAGGAGGTTTGGAAAAATTCTGCGGATTTGAATACCTTAAAGTTGATGACATTCAAAAATTTATCGAAAGGCAGACATTTTAATACTAAAAGCTATACAGTGGTTTTAGAATTCGAGGAATATTAGTAGATCTATGATGTTGCAAAATTCACAAAACTCAACTAATCGAAGAAATTCACACAGTTCGAAGTATTCTAGAAACAGGCGAAATCTATGATTTTCAATGAACTTAAGGTGATAGCTGCTTGTTTTTAATAATTGAGTTAAACTGTATGAAAGAATTTTCTATTATGAAAACCTTTCAACTTCTCTGGAACAGAAAGTAATCAATCATTACTCACAGTCGCATCCATATTTGCAGTATAACAGTTTTAGTTTTCACTATAAAATCATTGGATCATTCAAATCAAGTTCTTATTATTGAACAAAAGCTTTATCAAGTTACCATATAAACGACTACTAGTCGGTCTATCAATATTTCGTTTATTCTCAGCTCTGCAGACGTTCTTTTATGATGTTTAATGTTTTATATAAATATATTAGAACACTCTGGAACGAGGTTGTTACTGTATAAAAACATTTTGTAGTATTCTCAGCTTTGACCATATTCTGAAGGTTTGTTGAGATGCGACTATGCTTATTTTGTAACACTCACGAGTTTTGACTTAATCCTTAATTATTAACAAATATTTGATCACAAGCTGTTTGTAGAAAATTTATCGAAGTAAAAATCATTACAATATGGTAATTTATGTAAAATAGAGCATAGTTTGATGAGATTACATTTCTTAGATCTATTAATCGTTATTGTTTCAAATATCCTCATCCAAAAATCAACATTTTTAGAATAGTCTTGAACTCATTTCATTTTTTATCAAGACAATTATCTATTTTGATATATGAGTTAGGTTCACTGAAAAAAGTGAGAAGAAAATGTTTATTCTATAGTCATTCTTTAGAATAGAAGCTTTGTTGTCTTGGTTTTTCTGAACGTGGGAAAAAAGATATTATCTTGTGAACTGTTTAACATTGAAAACTATCAACATTTCTATAATCTACTTCAACACAACCTTCACTTGCATCACTCCTGCTATTATGCCAAGGTGGTTCCAAGAGTTTGTGGTACATATATTTTCAGTACTAAATATGCCATGATTTAGAATGAAGTGATGTTTAATCGGCGAATAAAGGGTGTTCATTAATGAAAAAACAGATATTAACTCGACTAATACGAGAAGTTGCATGATAGTACAAGGGAAGAATTCTAGCTTCTGCAGGGTAATCCACATAGTTCTGATAGTTCAAACATGGTTGTGTGAAACACTAAAATCGCAATGCTGTACATGATACTTCTACATGTCAACAATATCCTTCAGACAATTTTCTATGAACATAAAAAGAGTATTTTCTTAGAGAGAATTTATTGATAAGAATTATATAGAAAGTTGTTTACAAGTTTCAAACAAAAATGCAGAGACATTTTATGGCTCTTGCTAAGAGAAGAAAAGCAAAACGCCTTTATGTTAATCCTTACAGTCACTAGATCTAATTTTATTTCAAGAAGAGAAAAGATTTTATGTGATATATGGACATATGTTACTGACGAATCCATGTGTTCTGAAGCATGTAAACAAATAATTTTTTCGAGAGTAATATACCATTGGTGACTGTTTGTATTGAAAATAACATATGAAGAACTGAAGTAGTTTTGCGGAAGATGTGTTCGAAGAAGACTACTTCACTTTTGAAAACGTTCTATGTTCACCAGATGAAAGACTTCATATATAAAGCTTTTTTTTGTAGATTTCGAAAAGAATCATAGAATATGACTTTTGTTAAAAGACTGATACTCTCGATTTCTCGAG